GTATCCTACCGCCCGGTGGAGGCCTCTGGTGAGCCGGCCACCAGTGGCCGCTCGGAGAAAAGCGTCCCCAGGGGACCCAGGAATCTGGCAGGACGACCTTCCTTTTTTCTCCACTCGGGGATTGCAGGCAGGGACACTGGTGCGGGTCTCCTGAGGCCTTGGTTCTAGCATCACTTAAACGCGCGGCTAAGCCCTTCTGCGCGGCGATTTTCTGAGCTGCTGCGCGGTTAATTAAATCCCGGGCCGAGCTGCCCCAGGCCGGGGGACAGCGCAGGGGCTGGCGTCAGGGGCCCTCTCAGTGTCCACCACCTTCACCTGCCGGCAGGCCGGCCAGGACGTTACTCAGGACGAGTCCGGGCCGAGGTCTCCGTCCTGAAACTCCAGAATCACCGAAAACCGGGAGTAGGGTGGGGGTGGGGACCGTTCAACCGCGCGCCCTTAGGGGGGGAAAGGCAAGTTACCTGCTTTGCGCGGACGCCGCGCTGCCCTCTCCCAGCGGGCAGACTCGCCGATCGCGACCCCGCGGGCAGCTTCTGCTCTGTCCGGCCGTCAGTCCTCCGAGATCAGCAGCCGGCCGGGCTCTGGAGCTGGGTCCTGGGGTTCGAGCCTGAAAGATGCAGCCTTGCCAGGCACGAGGGGTGGTCTCCGAGGCTGTGAGGGTCTCTGAGGGACTCTTGCGGGACGCCAGGATCTCAGAACCGGCGCGAGGCTCCTCGGCGGTCTGGTTTTCTGCATTGATGGAGAACAGTGAGCTAGAGGTAGAGAGCCTGGCGTGGGAGGTACAGCGAGCGCCGCCTGGTTCCGTGCCCGCCGGGATTCCCGAGCGTGCGGGCTCACCTGCCTAAGAGGCCTCTGGCTCCGGCTCCCGGGCTAGGCGCCCCTTCCCCGGCCTGCGCGGCCTCCTCTGCGGAGCGCGGAGTGCGGAACAGCCCGGGCGCCGCGCCCTCAGGAGTGAAACGGAACCGGCGAGACTGGCCAACGGCTACGGAGGCTGGCCCCTGGGGGCCCTGAAACCCTTTCGCTCTTTGCGCGCGGGACCCGGAGACCGCACTCCCCAAAACGCGGGAGATCTTTGCTGGGGCCTTGGACCGACGAGCAGACGGACAGTCAGACGCAGGGGCAGGCCGAGGCCCCGGGCCTCCGCCCCGGCCCGCGCCCCCCCTTGGCGATGCTCTGCTCGGGCCTAGGTGGGGGCGAGGGGGAACGCGCCGGTGAAGCCTGGCCCGGCCGAGCGCCCCCTGAACCAAGCTCCAGGGGCCGAGAGCTTTCCTCCCTCCTTGGATTATTAAAAAGTTCATTTCCTGGCGAATCGGGTGACGTCAGGGGCCCGGCGTCTCGGTGGCGGGGCCGCCCGGCCGGAGAAGCCGCCTCCAGTTACCCAATTACCGACTGTCAATCGCGCCGCCCCTCCCCCGCCCTCCTGGGGGTGGCCGGGACCCCCACACTTCGCTCGCCTGTGCCCAACCCGGAGCCCGCTAGATAGAGCTGTGGCCCGGTGAAGGGAGAAGGGCCAGGGACCATCCGCCAATCACTCCCTCATGACCTCGCACCTGTCTGGAAACCCCAAGTTTCTTTGGGGGCTACCTTACTCCTGGATCTCAGGCTCCGTTCCAGCCTCGGTTTCCCGAGCTGTACAATGGGGAGGGACCAGGCAGATCGGTGCGCCAGGCCCTGTCAGCCCACAGTACCTCCATGTGAATCGGAGAAGTCTGTGGGCAGCAGTTCCAGGTGACCCGAAGGACTGAGTCCTCAGAACACCTCTTTCTTTCCCTGGGGACCCCCCTTGAGGACCCGAGGAGGGGGCAGTGCCTTCTGGCTGGGGGCATCTCCCTCCAGACGGCGCCGGCGCCAGTCCCGGTCTCTACAACTTGGCCCCAGGCAGTCCTGCTCGTTGGTCTGCGAAGGCCACACCCGGGGAGGGGACACTCCCTGCCCCTCTCTGGAGCTGCCTGCCCAAACACCTCTGTCCCCCTCAGCACCGCCCAGAACCGCTGAGTGACCCGGGCCCAGGTGCCCTCAAGGGGCCTATGGCTCTGGCCCCATTGGCCCAGCCCCTACGCTTTCAAAGCTGCCCTCGAGCCCTCCCCGCCTGGTCAGCGCCCGAAGAGGGACGGAAGGGTCTGGCTAGGTGCTATAGGACTTGGACCCTGGACCTTCAGTGATAAAGGAGGTGGGATCTGACAGTCGAGGAGCTGGGGTCGCGAGGAGAGAACCTTTAGCCACCCAGAGGGTGTCCAGCAAGGCAGCTGGGGAAGGAAGGGCCCCGGGATAGTTACTGGGAGAGGGTCCTAGAGGTGGGAGGTATTGTCCGAGAGACGGGGTGAGGGTCCCACGGAGGGGGCGTTAGCAGCAGGGGCCGCCGGGAGGGCGCTGGGAGGGGGCCCGCGGGCGGCGGGGGGCAGGCCCGCGGGTCAGTCGGCGAGTCCAGCGGACCCGGGTTACGGGCGCAGCCAATGGAGGGCGGAGGCTGGGCGGCGGGCCACGCTGATTGGCTGGCGCCGGCTTCTTAGGCGTGCGCGGCCCCCACTTCATGTCTGTGCAGGAGTCGGCAGCTGGCGCCAGGGCGGCCGGAGGATGCCGAGGGGCCGGAGCCCGGCGGGCCCGAGGCCGAGGCGCGCACTGCCCCCTGCCTCCACCGCGTGAGCCCCGCCAGCTGCCGGGCGCGCCGTCCCTGGGCCCACGTCTCCCGGGCTTCCGCCAGTGGTGCCCACCTTCTGCGGCCTTACCCCCCTCCTTGGGGCGCTGTGTGTGTAAGTTTGGGGTGCAAGAGCTGGCCGCGGCCTGGGGCGCTCCTCTAGCCCCGAGGGGTCTCTGCGGCGACTCGGGGCCAGGATCAGGTTTCAGGGGTCTGCTTTGGTGTGTTTTGGAGAGAGGTACTTACTGGCTAAGCCGCCCGGGAGTGCGCCCAGAGGCTGGCTCTTGGCCAGTGGGGCTGCGTGTGCGTGTTTGCGAGGGGAGGTCGGGTTGTGGCGCCATGTAGGTGTATATGTCGCCGTGGTCATGTGCTTCAGTGGGTGCCCGGGTGCCTGCCTCCAACTTTTCGTCTGTGTTTCTGTGTTTGTGTACTGGGAGGGTGGGAGTGCAATGCGAATGTCTTGACTGAAGTGCGACTTTGTGTGTGCGTTTGTTGGGGGTCGCTGGGATCGCGGCGGGTCCCCGCGTGTGGCCCCACTCCCGTGCACGCGTACGCACCTCCGGGGGCGCGAGTCCCTGTGTAAGTGTGCGTGGCTCCACTCCCTTCCCCCGCCTTCCTTTCGTTTTGAACCTCGCGCTTTCCTCCCACCCGGGACTGGCCCGGCTGGTGCTCGGCTGGGGCGCAGCAGCGAGTGAAACCTCGCCTGGGGACAGGTAGGGATGGTGGGGCCCTGGTGACTCCCCTCATGCCCCCTTTTTGTCCTACAGGGCTGTCGCCGCCTCCACCTGGATCTTGAACCGCCCCTGCCAAAGGTCATGGAAGTGGCTCCGGAACAGCCGCGCTGGATGGCGCACCCCGCGGTGCTGAATGCACAGCACCCCGACTCGCATCACCCGGGCTTGGCGCACAACTACATGGAGCCCGCGCAGCTGCTGCCGCCCGACGAAGTGGACGTCTTCTTCAACCACCTGGACTCGCAGGGCAACCCCTATTACGCCAACCCAGCCCACGCGCGGGCACGCGTCTCCTACAGCCCTGCACACGGTGAGTCCTGAGCCCGAGGGTGGCCGGGATCCAGCCGCTCAGGCCAGTCTGTGCGAGAGCAGAAGGGGGCCCCTACCTGCTTCTTCAGTATGGGATTGGCTGGAGTTGGGCCTAGGGGAATGTTGCAAAAATCAGCCAGGAGGAAAGTGGGCCTGAGTCTCCTGGAAAGGGTCTGGGGTCCCTGGGGCTTCTGCCAATTTGCGCCCAGCTCCTTGGTCCCCTCTGGGTCAGGATTCCTTCTGGGCCACCTCTTCGTACCCTACTGGCATCCCTGTTCTTGTGACTTGGAGTGCTGTGTCTGTGGTTTTCTTTGGGGGCTGGTCGACTACTGGTTGGTGTGTGGATTATGGTCCTGTGTCCTGGACTGGGGGAGTGATCCGTATTTGTGCTCTCCCTTGACCCACAGCCCGGCTGACGGGAGGCCAGATGTGCCGGCCACACTTGTTGCACAGCCCTGGTTTGCCCTGGCTGGATGGGGGCAAAGCGGCCCTCTCTGCTGCTGCAGCGCACCACCACAATCCCTGGAGCGTGAGCCCTTTCTCCAAGACCACACTGCATCCCTCTGCTGCGGGAGCCCCCGGAGGCCCACTCTCCGTGTACCCAGGGGCAGGCGGTGGAAGTGGGGGAGGCAGTGGGAGCTCCGTGGCCTCCCTCACACCCACTGCAGCCCACTCGGGTTCCCATCTCTTTGGCTTCCCACCCACGCCACCCAAAGAAGTTTCTCCTGACCCCAGCACCACAGGAGCTGCCTCCCCAGCCTCGTCCTCTGCAGGGGGCAGTGCGGCCAGGGGTGAGGACAAGGACGGTGTCAAGTACCAGGTGTCACTAACTGAGAGCATGAAGATGGAAAGCAGCAGTCCCCTGCGCCCCGGCCTGGCAGCCATGGGCACCCAACCTGCCACACACCACCCCATCCCCACCTATCCCTCCTATGTGCCAGCCACTGCCCATGACTATGGCAGCGGACTCTTCCACCCTGGAGGCTTCCTGGGCGGCCCCGCCTCCAGCTTCACCCCTAAGCAGCGCAGCAAGGCACGCTCCTGCTCAGGTAAAGGCAGATGTCGGACCTGGGGGGGGACACAAACTGACTTTGGAGAGTTGGTCATTTTGGAGGGGGCCAGACAACATCAGTCTCTCAAATCTGCAGGTGGGAAGTGTCCACCCCAATAGCCCCCAACAGGTATTGGAGCTCCTGGAATGGGAGAGAGATGGGATCCTACAACTCTTGTTCTTCTCTTTGAGCTCACTTCTTTCCTTGATGGGCACTTGCCCTGCTCTAAGGTGGCCTAACTTGTAAAGCCTCCTCCTTGTAAATCAAGTGAAAATTCAAATGGGTTTTTTTAGCTAGTTTATTTGTGTGAGAATGAAATAGGTCAGGCAAACAAGTCCGTGTGTGTGTGTGTGTGTGTGTGTGTGTGTGTGTGTAAGTGTATGTACATGCATTTGTGCGTGCATGCTCCTGGGGGACGTCCTTCAGAGGCTCAAGACCCTTAACGAATCTGGTTTCCCAACTCAACCAGCCATGCGGGATTTAGGCTCCCATCGCTTTGGGAGATTTGCCCGCAAGTAAAATTCCCAGGATTCATGCCTTTCTGCTCCAATCCCTGGCTGTCTTTCACTCTCCCTTCCTTGAGGGCACTTGAGGAAATAAACTGTTGCTGCTCCTTACCCTTTTGCCTACAAGAACTAGCTGGGCCCAGGCAGGACTTGTCACCAATCTGGTTGCAGAATGAGTGGCTTATAAGGGCTGCTGTTTTTGATGCTTCATTTAAATTCCTTTAAACCAGGGTGACGGAATAAAGTTTTAAAACTTTTCAATCCGAGAATCCCCTTTCTCTTGCCCACATGTATTGGCAATTTAAACAAAAACAGGAAAAATTTCCCAGGTAACACAATACCATCCAGGCAGGCCAACACCCCCTGCACTCCTGGCCTGGGGGTCTCCCTGCAGTCCCCGGCTGGGGGTCTCCGTTATCTTTAGACCAGCAGGTTTGCCTTTTCTTAGTCCCTTCCCTCAAGTTTGTTTAACTTTTTCTTTCCATTTTCGAATGACTCTAGCCAAAAAAACAAAGCCACTTAATCTAAAAATGAAAGTTTATTATATATTTTATTTTACACAACAACTTAGATGACAGTTTTGGACTGACTCCTAGGGCCTCAGTGGAAAGAGAAAAGGACAGGGAGAAAGAAGGGAATTAAGCCTGGATGGGATAGAGTGAGAGGATCGAATCTGAAACAGAGATGCGGGAATAGCAGACACCATTGGGAAGAAAGGCTGGGAAAGGAGAGCCAGCAGAAACTGGTGACTCCAGCCACTGCTCTCAGCAAAGTTTGCTATAAATATTCTTTGCTGGCTTGTTCTTAGAATCCTTGGGATCTTCACCCCACTCTTCCCTTCCTCCTCCTCCTCTCCTTGTTTCCCTTTCTTAATTTTGAATTGGGGATTTGGCCCTCAACTACACCTCTCCTCCCCATGTTTGGAACAAAGCTACCTCCTGCAGAGGCAAATGGAGTCCCAGTGTATGCCTTGTATGCACTCCCTTGTCCACTCCCTCCACACAGCACTGTGGGTTAACTGGACTCCCTGTCTCTCCCCCGTTTCCCTCCAGAAGGCCGGGAGTGTGTTAATTGTGGGGCCACAGCCACCCCTCTCTGGCGGAGAGATGGCACAGGCCACTACCTGTGCAACGCTTGTGGGCTCTACCACAAGATGAATGGGCAGAACCGGCCACTCATCAAACCGAAGCGTCGTCTGGTAAGTGGCTGAGGTGGGCTGGGGGATGGAATGAGGGGTGGCTCCTGGGCTGAGGAGTACATGGAGGAGAACCTGGGCCACAGACAACAGTTAAAGGGAATAAGTAAATAAAAAAGTAAACCCTTCCAATGCAGATGCTTTACCACTTAAAGTTCTCTTCTATCTTCGTTTTCTAACCCCTTGGTTTTCTGGCAAGGTTTGTTTCCCCTTCAGGCCTGAAGGGGCTGCACACCCCTCAGGGATAACCTCGACCCGGTCAGGTTGAGTGTCCAGGTACCAACTCCCATCATTTGGCCTCTGTTTAACTCTTTTTAAAAATAGGGCCATGAAGTAATTTTCCTTCATCGCTCAGGGCAGTGCTGCCTTGCTTTCCAACACACACACAGTCTCCATGCTTATTTAAATAACACACACAAACACACACACACACCCCAACCACCAAAAAAACCTGCCCTTTATTATTTTTCCATGGAGTCACCTATACTGTGTATTTTCATTTGAGTGATTTTTTTTTTTTAAATGCCCTTTCGGATCTCCTGCCGGAGTTTCCTATCCGGACATCTGCAGCCCAAAGATAAGGAAACTTAGCGTATCTGTTTCCGGACTCTGCGAGTTTTTAGAGAGTCTCCTCGGCTCAGGCCTGCCTCTTGCTGGGCTGTTTTGAAATCTCTAATACCTTCCACCCTGCAAATAATGCGTAAAATGCTAAGAATAATAAATACCCATTTTTTTCAGAGCTAAATGATTTATGGGGCCTAAATCGGTCGCTTTGGGGACCCATTTTACCCTAGAGGGAGGAGGGGGTAAGGGCCCCGGGTGGGGGTAGGTGGAGGATACGACTTGGCCCCTGAGTCAGAATTCCAGCGTTGGCCGGCTTAGTCACCCCTCCCCACCCCCGCACTGCTGTCGCTGGTCAGTCCCTCCTGCGCCCAGGCCCCGGGCAGGTCCCAGCTCCGCTGGCCCCACCCCCACCCCTCACCCTGGCTGTCTGTCGGGTGGATTCCAGCGGGAGGTGCTCTGGGAAGCGGTGGACTGCAGCGATGCTGCAGGCGCTGGTAGGAACAGGAGCTGGGTCTGCTTTCTCCCCAAGACCCTTCAGCACCCTTTTTCGGGGAAACAAACTGGTTTCCAGACCTCTCTCTTTCCAGCATTTTTGAGGGGCTGTGACACTCAACTGAGCGTTTAGGATTAGGGTACCAGCAAAGCCCCAGGGCCTTGGGGGCTAAATCGGCCAGCACTGTCTAGTAGAAATGGTCTCTGCACTCGCCACCTGCACATCACTTGGAAGTGTGGCTACTGTAATTGAAGGCGTGGGATTTTAAATGTCATTAAATTGGAGCTAATTTAAACTTAATTCGAATAGCCACATGTGGTTAGTGGCTAGTCCATTGGCTGGTGCAGCTCTGGGCACTCTGAAAGGGTCATTTTATGTTCCTGACCCCACCCCTCTATCCTCCTGGGTGGTGTGAGTCCTCTGTGCCTGCTCTGGGGAGCACTACTTCACCCAGAAAAAGGTATTTTTGAGGTGGAGTGGTGTGAGAAAGGGACAGAAGGGTGACCTTGGGACTGGAGGGGACTGAGCTGGCCCTGACTCAGCCTGGGTTTCCTTGATGCACTGTAATGTTGGTTGGGGGTTGGGTGAGGTGGCTGCTTTCCCCACTCAGCTCTCCTGGATTCTAAGATCCAGCATCTGAGAGTTCTTTATTCTAAGGCTCTGTGAGTCTTGTTCAGTTCTCAGCTTCTAAAATTCCCTACCTTCTGAGATGCCTTGATTCCCTGAGATTTACTGCTCCTGGGTGAAGTTGGCAGGGTGGCTGGAGGAGAGAGTCTGGGGGTCCAGGAAGGAGGTCAGGGTGGAGCGTGGGAGAGTGCTCACTGACGCTGCCCCCCTCCCCAGTCTGCAGCCAGGAGAGCTGGCACCTGTTGTGCAAATTGTCAGACAACAACTACCACCTTATGGCGCCGAAACGCCAATGGGGACCCAGTCTGCAACGCCTGTGGCCTCTACTACAAGCTGCACAATGTGAGTGCCCCGCCTCCCCCTCCCCCTGGGATGTAGCTGACTTTGTGCTGGGCCCCCCCCCCCCCCGCAGTATCCAGCTTGGCTTGGCTTGGGATGCTGTAGCTGCTGGTCCCCAGCTCCAGACAAGCTCCCTGTAGGAAGGGGCACTTCAGCTTGGCAGGAGGCTGATGAGAGGACCCGAGGGGATTCAATGGCAGTATCTGTGCTGACATATTTGTCTCTCGGAGAGCCTGGCTTATGGGGGAAATGTGCTGGCATTTAGTGGGAAGGAGGCAGGAACGTGTGAAGGCTGCAGCCCTCAGGTCACTTGTTGCATTCAGGTCCAACTGGGTAGGGGGGAACCCTCCTGGAAATGCTGACAGTGCCGGGTGGGAAGCACCAGCAGTAGGTTGAAGGATTCCTGGCTTCCAGGCAGCTCTCTAGCACAGGATGGAGTGGGGTCCTCTCTGAGAAGGGAGCTCAGTGTCCTGAAGTCTTGGTGGTTGTCCCCAGGTTAATAGGCCACTGACCATGAAGAAGGAAGGGATCCAAACTCGCAACCGGAAGATGTCCAACAAATCCAAGAAGAGCAAGAAGGGGGCTGAGTGCTTTGAGGAGCTCTCCAAGTGTATGCAGGAAAAGTCGTCCCCCTTCAGCGCAGCTGCCCTGGCCGGACACATGGCACCTGTGGGCCACCTCCCGCCCTTCAGCCATTCTGGACACATCTTGCCCACTCCAACTCCCATCCATCCCTCCTCCAGCCTCTCTTTTGGCCACCCCCACCCTTCCAGCATGGTGACCGCGATGGGCTAGGGGCAGCCTTCCACTGAATGGACATACAGATGTAGAGTAGGCGTGGGCAGAGCAAGCCTGGGCATCTCCAGGACAGGCGACAAACCTTTGGCTACCCAACCTCTCCTGAAGACTGATGCCACTCCTGCCTGCTCGGCCAAGTCTAGGGCCTCTGTCCCACTTTTTGGCTCATGACGGGTGCCCACCCCACCCGTCAGCAATTACTGTGAATCCTACCCCCTGGCCGAGAGGCCGCCTCTGCTCCCCGCCACCCCAGTGGTACTGCCATTATGAACAGGTATTTAGAGAACAAAAAGGACAGCTTTATGAAGAGCAAAGAAGGGGCAGGGGACAAATGAAGGAAATAATTTGTAGAAGGAAAAAAAGAGTAGGCCAAAATAATTTATTTTGCTCTTGCTTATAATAAAGGTGTGGATTTGAAGCACCAGGTCATTCCAAGTCCTGACCAGGCACTTTTTTGGGCTAGGTGCAGCTCCACCTGGTCTGCTGGCCAGGTCTCTAGGGCAGATCTGGGGGACAGTGTCAGCCTGTACCCCATGTACCTCTGGTTTCCCCCTCTGGAATAGTTGGAAACTTGGCTGGGCTGGACTGAGGCCAGAAGGACCCGTTGAAGGGAGGGTGAGCTGGTGTGGGCCAGGCTGCCGGCCCTGGAGGGCAGGCCCTGGTGGGAGAGACAATCACAGGCGGTCCCACACGGATTCCCAGGCCAGGGTTGGGTCACAGGAAGGAAACGACATTTTCTTGAAAGGGGAAACGTCTCCCAGATCCCTTGGCTTTGAGGCTGAAGCTGGTGTGGTCCATGTCCCCTCAACGGACTAGAGCCACAGACTTGTCTTTTCTGTAGGGGGGATGGACCCCTGTATATACATCCCTTTTCTGCTAACCCCTCAGCCCCTTCCCCTCCCATTCTGAGATGAAAGGAAAAAAATGTTTTATTTTTAATTTTTTTTTAACTGCATAAGCTTATCTCACTGATGAGTTATTTTCTTTTTAAACTTTTTTGGGGGGGACCCAGTTAATTGTATTCTACCACAGAAGCCCTGTTATGGAGAGAAATAAAATCTGCAAACCCAGGTTGTAGCTTCACAGTTCTTTTTGGAGATTTTCTGAGATCCCAGAACCCTGGCTCTGGGGGCGGGGAAAACATCCTGGCTTGGGGAGAGCTTGGTTCTCTGATGTGACAGGTGGTGAATACAGGAGTTGGAGGTGGGCAGAGCTAGGCTGAAGGGGTGGCTGTTTCCCTGCTTCAGGGCACAGGAGACGACGGCAGAGCTCTGTGTTGTGATTATCTGGATCCTTTCCAAGGTACAGCTGTACGTAATGTGTACCAAGTTTAGGTTCTAAATCCCATGGTGGTCGGGTGCGGTGGGTACAGACTTATCCCAGAAGAGGGTTGTGCTGATGTAGTCAACCAAGTGCAATATGGACAGGGGATCACAGGAGCACCGCAGTAAGAAGTAACTTATTTTGTACTTTATATCCACATGTGGAAAAGAATCAGCAGTATTTTTGTTCTTCTGTTCTACCTGGCCTGTTTTATTTTGGATTAGTGAACTAAGTTATTGTTAATTATGTACAACATTTATATATTGTCTGTAAAAAAATTGTATGCTCTCCTATTCCTTTTAAAGTGAATACTGTTAAGAATAATAAAATACTTTTTGGGAATGCCTCTGGCCTATACTTGGGCTCCCAAGCCCACCCTGCTAACTCTGGATGCTAGAACCCAGGATAGATTGACCAGACTGCTCCTGGTCCCCTAGATTTGAGGGGAAGGGCTTTGTGGATAGGAGGCCAGGATGTGATTTCTTTACTGCAATTCTGGCTTTCCTCCCCCACTTCTGTGTCCACCTGAATGTTCTGATCATGACCACCAGGGATCAAGGCTCTTGGTAGACGCTGGGGAGGACATGGCTTCTCCCACCTTTGATCCACACCCTGATCTTCCTAAGAGCTCAGCAAAGCTCCCACTGGGCATTCTGATAACCCACCAAATATTGCCTCCTCTCTCCCCAGCCACTGTCTCCTAAGTGTTAATCTGCCCAGGTTTCTGAGATCTATGGCCATTACTACTCTCTTTTCTTTTTTCATCGACAAACCTCATCACCACTGATGAGGGCCTGATGATCACAGATGTCTGGTTACTACTAACACTTGATCACCAACATCTAATCAATATTTCATCAATGCCTCTGCTTATTATGGCTCTGATCACAAAATGCAACCACAATGTCTAGGAAGGATGGGAAATCTCCTGTGAGATTTACTGCCTCTGAAAATCCGCTGGAGGGTCAGCTCTGAGGTGGTCCTGCAACAACAACGTCCAGAGGTGACTGTCTTTTACTCATTGATATTTCTGGTCATGAGGATCTCTTATCACCAATGTTCCTGATCAGCAAGCTTATCTCTGTTCACCCGTATTTCTATTTCATGTATCTGATTGCCAATATCTCTGATGACCACTCTCTGTTCACCAAGATCTCTGACCAACAGTGTGCCTGATGACTAACGTCCCCTATCTTAGTTTCCTGGTGCTGTAGTGACACAAATACCACAAGTGTGTGGCTTTAAAGAACAGAATTTTATCTCCTCACAGTCCTGGGGCTTAAAGTTCAAATTGGAGACTTGGCTGTGTCTTTTCCTTCCACGGAGTCAGCACTGAGTGATGTCGGTTTCTTGGCGATCCTTGGCTCGCACGTGATGCTCACATGGCACCTCTCTTCCCTCGTCTGTCTTCTGTATCTGTCTCGGTCTTTCTCTAATTCAGAAATTATTATGTTTAGGAGTTGACTTACTGTGATGACTCCTCATTAACATAACAAAGAAAAAGCCTTATTTCTAGGTGGATGGAGCAGAATGACCATCGGAAGCTCTGTCTTTAGCATACTTCTGCGCTGCTGTGCTACCACCACCCTACCCACATCCTTCATTGTAGACTAGAATTCCAGAGCGGGCAAGAACCAGCCTGAGTGATGCAGGAGGATAGGTGCCTATCAGCCCATCTCTGTGTATAGTGGTGTCACCCATCCCAGGCTTATTAACATCTCCTCCTCCCCCTGCCCCTTCTCTAGCTTTAGAATATTCTGGCCTCCTAATAGGAAAGGAGTCAGGCTGGTAACCTTCCTCTTTCTGCCAGTCTGCCCCATCTCAGTGATGGCCTTGCTCTTCTGTCCCTGGGTTATGATTATCAGATGTAATGTGTAGATGCCTTTGAGCTGTGGTGATGGGGAAGTTTTGGACATACCATGGACCTCCAAGAGAACAAACAAATCTGTCTTGGAGAGGGCAAAATCAAGTTTCTCCTTGGAGGCAAGGATTTTGAAGCCTTGTCTCACATACTTTAAACATATGGCCAGGAGATACCAGTCCTTAGAAGAGGACATCATGCTTAGGAGGGTGGAGGAACAGCACAGGAGAGGAAGACCCCAAATGAGATGGATTGACACAGTAACTGGGGCAGTGGGAGTAGGTGTGTCAGCGTTATTGAGACTGACTCAGGATAGAGCAGGCTTCGAGCTGCTGTACATATGGTCGCTTTGAATTGCAGGCAACTCAATGGCACATAACAACATATGCATATATGGTCATACACACAAGTACAAACGTATGCTTGCTGTTGAGACCCCCAGAACTCCAGGTGATACTCTACATGTGGGGCCCACATCAAGAAATAAGTTAGATTAGAATTCCTGTCCTTGAGAAGCTTATTCTAGACTTTAACATTATACTTGGGATGTGCAGATACCTATCAGTGAACTCTTGTCTTCCATCAGAAGGAAGGAGTTATGCCTGTTACTAGCTTTGTTCTGAGGTTTGCAGACTTCAAATATTACACCCTGACAGCAGGCAAGCAATGCAGAGGCATCAGCCTAGTTCATAAACTTGGAGGCTGAGGCCTCAGACAACAAGCTAAGTTTGAAAAGGATGACATATGTATCTCTTGTGATCCTGTCATATGACTACAATGCTGTCCAAATAGAAGATGGTTCAGGGAGCATGCACTGCAAACACACATTTCTGTGTGTTCTGATGAGGAAGGAGACAGAGCTTGAACAGCAGTGAGAATCTTAGTTTCTGAATTGTCACATTTACTGAGTCTTTCACCTGGCCTCTCCCAAGGCATCCTGCTTGTCTGACCCAGGCCAAAGCACCAGGGTCATAGCCAAGAATTTGCAACCTAAAACTCAGAAACCAGAGTATAGAGCTCAAGACCTAGGAACCAGAGACTTGTACCTCAGACTCAGGAACCCAGAGGCCAAAAGACACCACATAACCTGGAACCCTCTGCCTAGAACCTGGAACCTGGTCCACAGAATGTGCAGCTTATAACACAAAACTTTGAGGCTGGGGTCCAGAACCTGAGCCACTGAATCCCTAGCTCAAGACAAAGGCCAGAACTCGATCCTTCAATGTTTACTCTTTCACGCATTTGTCATGATGTTGTTTATTGGTCCAGTTACAAAGTCTATTGTTTTCTTTATGTTGTGTAATCTGATGGCTTTAATCTGAGTATTTAAAATCCTCTTCACTTACAGTGAGCAAGATTGCACCCTGGTAGTGTACTAGATAAGGAGTAAGCACTGCTAATCCAGAAACAGGCAGTTATAACTGATAAACTGTCCTATGGGATAAAAACGAGAAATACCCTCTGTGATTTGCAGCCTCTGAAAGCCCACTGAAAGGTTGTGAGTTGATTTTGACTTGATGGCACACAACACCACATTCATCTTACTGAAGAAGATCAGAGAATACAACCTTCAGTATGGATTACATCTCATCATCAAAAAAGCCAAAATTATCATCCCTGGACCAATAAAGATCACCATGATAGACGGAGAGAAGATTGAATCATCAAGTGATTTATTGCATCGAGTAAATCTGCTGTCAAGGACCTCTTCACAGTGCTGAAGAGTAGAGATTGTCGGCTGGAGAACTAAGGGGTACCTGGTCTAAGTCATGGTATTTTTCATTTGCTTCTTTTGCATTTGAAAGTTGGACAA